GGGAGCCTTAGTGAGATTTACATTACAACCAAAGATACGCTTGTTTCAATAAGTTAGTTGGTCAAGCAAACAGCACGGTACTTTTATCAAAATTGCCTCTCACATCTGCTGCAGCTAGGCAACATTCCCGGAAAACATATCTTCAAGTACAAATATGGCAAGAACAACCTATAAAACCCGACCAGTGGATCTGGAAGAAAATCAACAACACCCTGTCACCTTTATATACATCAGAATTGCCCGCCCCTGCTTCAATTATGTCATTAATAACGTGCAACTGCAAACAAGATTGTGTAAAAAGATGCAGTTGCATTAAAGCCGGCATGAAATGTACAACTATGTGCGGAACTTGTCGTGGGCAAAGTTGTTCGAATACTGAGCACATTCTAGAAACTATAGACGATGACAATATGTAGATGAAAGTATGAACGTTAGTTTAGTGGAATAGGCAATGTTTTTGTTAATATTATACAGTATTAGATCTGTTGCATGTATATTTAGTACGTTAAAATACCTTGGGAGACTATAATTTGAAAGGCGACCTGTCTTTTTTTGTACTCCATTTTTCAAACGGTTATTGCTCGAAATGCGTTGGATAAATATAAATAATGAATAGAAACTTTTTTGTAGCAAATTTTATAAGGAATATTTTCGGTAAGTATAAATTTTTTTGTGGGACCAACAGGTTCTGAGAAAAAATCGAAAAACCATCGAAGGGCGTTCTGGGGGTGGTTTTTTGGGGTGAAGCTCACACTTTAAAGTTAAGAACTCTTTTGATTTTGAAAGTCTCCTTTTGGTGCGTCTAATCTCAACATATCAAAACTTTATAAAATTTTTCTTCTATTCGGCTATTTTAGGTCTAATATAAATATACTACAAAGGCTTAGCCCGATCCTGGCATGTTTGTTCACACCCAAAATTCCAAACACACGTGCTTTGATTAAGGTTTGCAGAGCTTCAGCATTTACCATAAAATCGCGAGCAATTTGTTACAGAATTATTCACAGAACTTCAATCTATTTGCGTATTGTAACGGAATTTTAAATTATGTCTTTATTTTCGAGAAATTTTAGTCCAAACATAAGGAATATTTTGTTGATGTTTGACCATTAAAATCTTAAAAATAAAGCAGTTATTTAAAAATGTGCTACAATACGGATATAGTATAATCCTCTATCTTTAATTTCCTTCTTTATTTTTGTGTAAAAACACCTAGCCAGTTTTTTATAAAACGTAAAAGCCGAACGCTTATTTTGCTACTTTTTCAGACCAGTGAAATCTTTAGTGAAATGGACTCTTAACTCAAAACTCCCTTAAAACGAACGGGACATATTATATTTAATAATATGATACACTGAATTTCAAAGTGTTAATACTTACACAAAGCCGTACAAAAGAAAACACCAAAAATACAGGTAGATCTTCCTGTATGATACTACCGCATAAATAGAGTTCAGATATTATGATGAAAATTCCCAAACAAACTAGGAACTTATATATTATTATATGTTTTCTAATGAAATAACTTAGGATTTTTGTAATGTCCTCATATCTAATTTTTGTATTCATTTTGAGAAACCTAAAATGTTCTTAACTTGAAGCTTATTGTGGGAACATAAATCTGCTTAAAATGTTTGTTTTAAATAAAGCGGATGATGATTTATCGAATTAAAGGGTTAATGTTAGTAAAATTATCAAATATTAGAATATTTAGGGTCAATAAATTACATTTTTTTATTAGTCTGGATATTACAGGGTAAAGTATCAGCTATTAATTTGGATTCGAGGAAATTACCATTTCTAATGAATTTATTACTGATTGTAAGTCGTTTAGTTAAATTATACAGGGTATTTTTTAAATACCTACAAGCCTAGATTAGAAATAATGCTGTAGCTATACCGGGTGCGTCTCAAAAGTGACTCACCCCTATAATTTTTTTATTTTTTAAAATTAAAAACGAGATTTGATATGTTAGTATATGACATAAATTAGGAATGATTGACGTATTCAATTGTTTTCGGTCACTTCCCGTTTCACCGGAAATGACTACAACTTTCGATTTTTAAATGGCACCCTCGGTATTTTTTTACTTTATTCGATAGAAAATGACACTCTGAATCGAATGACATACTATCATTTGTCATTATTATTTTGAGGGTCTCAAGGATTCAAGATATTTACAGGATGTGTCTTAGATAAGTGCCAATATTAATAAATTAATATAATAAATTATAAAAAACGTGAGAGCCACCGGATTTTTTCTGTATTTAAATCCCTTTTAGTGTCTTAACTATATATAGGGTAAAGCTGTAACTATAGTAATACCGTATGATCGAAAAAAAAACGGCGTCCAGTTGGCTTGGAAATGAACATCAATGACATTCCACTCTGAGGACATTCCCCATTTAATTTTACATGTAAAATGACAACGATTTTCATTTCATAGCCATCGCTGACGCCGTTTTTTTTTCGATCGTATGGTGTGTCAGAAATTAAGAAATTATACGTTGGGAAAATTTGCGTTGGACGTGCAATTCTAAAAAGTTTTCTAAAATATACACAGGAAATTTTAAAAGAAAATGCAGGATTTTCAACAACTTTTTTGTGCAAAAAGCCTCATAGACGTGTTCATAGGGTCGACATATACCACCCCTAAAAATATTTACACTTATTTAACATTCACCCTGTATAGGACTGTGTTTTATAACAATTTATTAAAAAAAATGTTGAAAATTTTAAATAAATACCCTGTATATTTCTTATTCATTCCATATGCCGCTTTTTTTAATTAATCACTCCTTTTATTGTGACTGATTTATAACACAGATAACATTAAAACAATTTATAATAAAAATAACCGTTTTTTTTTCATGGCATACACAATACTATAATTCGCCATTGGTCCAGTATTGTGTAACATAATATACCTGAATTGCTATTTACTATATAAGTATTATTGCCTAAACAATTAATTTGAATAGAAAAACATACTGATTGGAAAAAAAATTGGCGTTGTCATTCACCATGTGCAGGCCAATTTTTGTCTCTAACGGACGGGTTATGCGAACACTCTGTTTATAATATACCGTTATACCATGCTATATTCTATCAGCACAGCTATAAGAAGTACATGAGTAAAAAGGCATTTTTAGAAAACGCAGAATTTCTTCTTGACGAAATGGTGAATGCGCCTATTAAAAAATCTTTTAAAATTCTTGAAATTGACAGGCTTAAAAAATGTAAAAGTTAAACTGAGGTAACATAAATTCTGATAATAATATTAGTAATTAGTGGTATTAAGATAAGTAATTACGGTATGTATGCATGTATTTTTATATAATTTAATGTAGAATTTGATTGATATATTATGAACTATACCGGATGTTTTTTAAATGTGGTTCACTCCTATGACTTGTTTATCTGGCTCTTTAATTAAAAATTAGTCGTTACAGCCATGGCACTCTAGATTGAAATATTTTGAAATATATCAAATAAATATATTTCTATCAAATAGTCATACTCGCCAAGTTTAAAACAAGGACTTAAAATATGTACAGAATGTGTCTTAGATAAGTGCCAATATTAATAAATTAATATAATAAATTATAAAAAACGTGAGAGCCACCGGATTTTTTCTGTATTTAAATCCCTTTTAGTGTCTTAACTATATATAGGGTAAAGCTGTAACTATAGTAATACCGTATGATCGAAAAAAAAACGGCGTCCAGTTGGCTGGGAAATGAACATCAATGACATTCCACTCTAAGGACATTCCCCATTTAATTTTACATGTAAAATGACAGCGATTTTCATTTCATAGCCATCGCTGACGCCGTTTTTTTTTCGATCGTATGGTATATCAGAAATTAAGAAATTATACCGTGGGAAAATTTGCGGTGGACGTGCAGTTCTAAAAAGTTTTCTAAAATATACAGGAAAATTTAAAAGAAAATGCACGATTTTCAACAACTTTTTTGGGCAAAAAGCCTCATAGATGTGTTCCTGGGGTCGACATATACCACCCCTAAAAATATTTACACTTATTTAACACTCACCCTCTATAGGACTGTATTTTCTAACAATTTATTAAAAAAAACTGTTGAAAATTTTAAAGAAATACCCTGTATATTTCTTATTCATTCCATCATGCTTAGTATGACGCTTTTTTTTTAATTAATCACTTCTTTTATTGTGACTCCCCCTGATTTATAGCACACATAACATTGTGTTTTAGCACAGAATTGAGAATTATTCTTTATACTGTGGTTTTACTATGTTATCTGTGACTGTAGTAATTTTTTTGAAAGTAATCATAAACAGTAGTCAATATAAAAGTAATAAAAATTGGAGGTAACTAATTATTGAGTTTTTAGCGAAATACCAACTTTTTATATGAATATTTCTATTTCTCAAAATAATTTTTATCTTGTTGGTTATCTTAATGTTTTAAAGAACCTTTAAGAATCGCAGAATATATTAAAAATTAATTTATCCAAATATTTGCTTTATTAAAGGCTTTATTTAACTCTAAAATAAGAATATTTAGCAGCTTTTTCGTCCAAACTTTTAAATTAATGCTTTAATTTTACGTTCATAGATGGCGCACCTTAAATATTTACCGGCAAACAGATTCCTATATTTTATATCTCCAGCGCCACCTATGTTGCAATAGTGATACTAAAAAAATATTGCAGCAACATCTGTTTACTACTTTCTGAACTAACGCATAATCTAGTGCCCTCTATATATCAAAAGCTAAACTAATTCTGCGTTGGCGCCATCTATGGGAATTTCTGAGAACTTATTATCTGTCTCTGTCTAAGTTTTTTTCTCTCGCACTCGTTGCATAAGTTTATCCTTTTTTAGCGCTTACTCTGTCTCTCTCACACTCATTAAAAAATTCTTGCCGGTCGTTTTGGGACATAAACAAAGTTGATATAAAAAAATTAACATTTATTTTTACAGAGGTAAATATCGCAGACAAAGGATAAATATATAGTTATGTAATACACAAGCACATCTACAGTACTTGAGAATATCGCAGTTGGTGGAAAATGGATATTTACACAATAATAAGAAAAAAATCATTCCTTTGAATTTGAATGTTTATTTCATGTAAGAGTTCACTTTCTCCTCATTTTTTTTTCATAAAGTTGACTCAAGATTCAACGCTCACGTAGTACACACTATAAAATATAAAACATAATACTATTCAGTGCAATGTCGTAATTATGTCTTATAAAAGATTTGAACTGTAGAGGTACATAAGTTTAATATAAAGTCATTTAAAGGTTTAATACACATTTATTACAGCATATCTATATCTTTTATTGTTTTATAGGGATCATTCTAATACTTACAAAGGATTCTGGGCTATAATAAAATGCAATTTTCGTAGAACAGTATCTTTTAAGGACGAATGAAGTTACATAGGAAGACTGTTGTAGTTTAATAGAACTTTATTATTTAATCATTGATTCCGTTTAAGGTAAGTAAAAGAATGTAAAACCATAGTTGAAGCAATTTATTTTGAGTAAAAGCATTATTTATTTCAGTCGTAGTGAAGTTGTCAATTAAAATCAATTCTAGTATCTTGGCAGTATCATTTATTCAAGCTAATTACTGATTTATTATATTTTCTTACTTAATTGACTACCTTTATGTATTTGCTCGAATGCTGTAATTATAAATATATAATGCTTTTTTTCTTTAATATTTATTTTTAAATTTGTTTATGTCTAGTATGCCGGTCATTTGGTTGGTTTATTACACATTTATTACAGCATATCTATATCTTTTTATTGTTTTATAGGGACCATTCTAATACTTACAAAGGATTCTGGGCTATAATAGAATGCAATTTTCGTAGAAGAAAGCAACCGTATCTTTCAAGGACGAATGAAGTTACGTGAGGAAGTCTGTGGTAGTTTAATAGAACTTTGTTGGGATCAGTCAATCATTGCTTCCGTTTAACGTAAGTAAAAGAATGTAAAACCATAGTTGAAGCAATTTGTTTTCAGTAAAAGCATCATTTATTTCAGTCGTAGTGAAGTTGTTAATTAAAATCAATTCTAGTATCTTGGCAGTATCATTTATTCAAGCTAATTACTGATTTATTATAATATTTTCTTACTTAATTGACTACCTTTATGTATTTGCTCGAATGCTGTAATTATAAATATATATAATGCTTTTTTCTTTAATATTTATTTTTAAATTTGTTTATGTCTAGTATGCCGGTCATTTGGTTGGTTTAATACACATTTATTACAGCATATCTATATCTTTTATTGTTTTATAGGGATCATTCTAATACTTACAAAGGATTCTGGGCTATAATAGAATGCAATTTTCAGAGAAGAAAGCAAACCGTATCTTTAAGGACGAATGAAGTTACATAGGAAGACTGTTGTAGTTTAATAGAACTTTATTATTTAATCATTGATTCCGTTTAAGGTAAGTAAAAGAATGTAAAACCATAGTTGAAGCAATTTATTTTGAGTAAAAGCATTATTTATTTCAGTCGTAGTGAAGTTGTTAATTAAAATCAATTCTAGTATCTTGGCAGTATCATTTATTCAAGCTAATTACTGATTTATTATAATATTTTCTTACTTAATTGACTACCTTTATGTATTTGCTCGAATGCTGTAATTATAAATATATATAATGCTTTTTTCTTTAATATTTATTTTTAAATTTGTTTATGTCTAGTATGCCGGTCATTTGGTTGGTTTAATACACATTTATTACAGCATATCTATATCTTTTATTGTTTTATAGGGATCATTCTAATACTTACAAAGGATTCTGGGCTATAATAGAATGCAATTTTCGTAGAAGAAAGCAACCGTATCTTTCAAGGACGAATGAAGTTACGTAGGAAGTCTGTGGTAGTTTAATAGAACTTTGTTGGGATCAGTCAATCATTGCTTCCGTTTAACGTAAGTAAAAGAATGTAAAACCATAGTTGAAGCAATTTGTTTTCAGTAAAAGCATCATTTATTTCAGTCGTAGTGAAGTTGTTAATTAAAATCAATTCTAGTATCTTGGCAGTATCATTTATTCAAGCTAATTACTGATTTACTATAATATTTTCTTACTTAATTTACTACCTTTATGTATTTGCTCGAATGCTGTAATTATAAATATATATAATGCCTTTTTCTTTAATATTTATTTTTAAATTTGTTTATGTCTAGTATGACGATCTTAATACTTATTAATATTTTTTTAATTTTACAGGATAGATATAAAATTTGAGTCATTTTCTATGGACACAGGGAAAAAGGAAAAATGTTACATAATATCTTCACAAAATTAACTGAAATCATCCCGGAATTATTTGTATTTGCAAATCGAATGATGGACTATCAAACAGGTAAAGATTTCTTACTTTTATTACAATATAAATAAACAGTTGCTTTGTGTAAATGTGGAAAATATTTAGTATTGCATAATTGCATTGCTTGTAAATTTGTATTTGAAAGCACACTTAAATACAAATATACATTCAATTTGTTTTAAATATAATGTGTATTGTTGGTTGCATAAACAGTTAGGGGTTTAAAAAAAAAGTATTTCCAGAAAGTATAATTTATTAAATATCTCTTTAAATTTTTATGATTTAATCTTTTTCTTTAAAAGTTAGATATCCAAACCAAGCCAACTGTGTATTATATATCTATTTTATTACATAAAAACAACATGAATTATTTAAGTTAAATATCTTAACTTACAGACGAGAGCAACTACCTATTTCATAGTATGGTGAAGAGTAATATAAGGAAAATTATTAAATGTTATTTATCCTTCCCTCCGTTTCCCATAATAAAGAAAAACTCTTATGTTATTATTTAGATATTATAGTATCTTTATTTGTAGGACTCCATAATTATTGAGGGTTATCTAATGAAATGGTTAATGGAATAAGAAACAGTCAAAGGACAATGATTGGCTAATTGTTTATTGAAACAGCAGAAGATATAGTGCAAACATTGTTGAACAAGTAATTAAAGGTAAATATTCTGTAAATATTACTGCAAAAAACAATCAAATAAAAATAACCGTTTTTTCATGGCATAAACAATACTACCGTATGATCGAATAAAAACGGCGTCAGCGATGGCTATGAAATGAAGATCGCTGTCATTTTATATGTAAAATTATATGGGAAATATCAGCGATTGTCATTTCCCAGCCAACTGGACGCCGTTTTTTTTTCGATCATACGGAATAATTCGCTATTGGTCTAATATTGTGTAGCATAATACACCTGAATTGCTATTTACTAAGTATTATTGCCTAAACTATGAATTTGAATAGAAAAACATACTGATTGGAGAAAAAATTGGCGTTGTCATTCACTATGTCCAGGCCAACTTTTGTCTCTAACGGACGAGTTATGCCAACACTCTGTTTACTATATTCTTACCATATCTTACTATATTACTATATACCATGCTATATTCTATCAGCACAGCTATAAGTATATAAGTATAAAAAGCATTTTCAGAAAACGCAGAAATTATTCTTGACGAAATGGTGAATGCGCCTATTAAAAAATATAAAATTCTTGAAATTAACAGGCTTAAAAAATGTAAAAGTAAGACCTGTGGTAAAACTGAGGTAACTCTTCTTTTATCCTCTTCTTAACTCTTCTTTTTGTAACTCTTCTTTTGAGGTAATAAATTCTGATAATAATATTAGTAATTAGTAGTATTAAGATAAGTAATTTCGGTATGAATGCATGTTTTTTTATATAATTTAATGTACAATTTGATTGATATAATATGACCTACACCGGATGTTTTTTAAATGTGGTTCACTCCTATGACTTGTTTATCTGGCTCTTTAATTAAAAATTAGTCGTTACAGCCATGGCACTCTAGATTGAAATTTAAATTACTATTTTTTAAGAGAAAATGTTAAAAGCTTAATTTTATTTGGAATGTAATTTTCTATCAAATAAATATATTTCTATCAAATAGTTATATTCGCCAAGTTTAAAACAAGAACTTAAAATAATATATGTACAGAATGTGTCTTAAATAAGTGCCAATATTAATAAATTAATATAATAAATTATAAAAAGTATTGAGAGCCCACAGATTTTTTCTGTATTTAAATCCCTTATTTTAGTGTCGTAACTATAGAGTAAAGCTGTAACTATAGTAATACCGTATGTTCGAAAAAAAAACGGCGTCCAGTTGGCTTGGAAATGAACATCAATGACATTCCACTCTGAGGACATTCCCTATTTAACTTTACATGTGAAATGACAGCGATTTTTATTTCATAGCCATCGCTGACGCCGTTTTTTTTCCATTGTATGGTATATCAGAAATTAAGAAATTATACCGTGGGAAAATTTGCGGTGGACGTGCAGTTCTAAAAAGTTTTCTAAAATATACAGGAAAATTTAAAAGAAAATGCACGATTTTCAACAACCTTTTTGCGCCAAAAGCCTCATAGACGTGTTCCTGGGGTCGACATATACCACCCCTAAAAATATTTACACTTATTTAACACTCACCCTGTATAGGACTGTATTTTCTCACAATTTATTAAAAAAAATTATTGAAAATTTTAAAGAAATACCCTGTATATTTCTTATTCATTCCATTATGCTTAGTATGACGCTTTTTTTAATTAATCACTACTTTTATTGTGATTCCCCCTGATTTATAGCACAGATAACATTGTGTTTTAGCACAGAATATAGAATTATTCTTTATACTATGGTTTTACTATATTATCTGTGATTGTAGTAATTTTTTTGGAACTAATCATATACAGTAGTCAATATAAAACTAAAAAAAAAGCGAAATACCAACTTTTTATATGAATATCTCTATTTCTCAAAATAATTTTTACCTTGTTGGTTATCGTTTTACAGAATCTTTAAGAATCGTAGCATATATTAAAAATTAATTTATTCAAATACCGTATGATCGAATAAAAACGGCGTCAGCGATGGCTATGAAATGAAGATCGCTGTCATTTTATATGTAAATTTATATAGGAAATGCCATCGATCGTCATTTCCAAGCCTACTGGACGCCGTTTTTATTCGATCCTTTGATTCGATCGTACGGTATTTACTTTATTTAACTCTAAAAAAAGAATATTTAGCAGCTTTTTCAACCAAATGTTTAAATTAATGCTTTAATTTTACGTTCATAGATGGCGCACTTTATTTATTTACCGACAAACAGATTCCTATATTTTATATCTCGAGCGCCACCTATGTTGTAATAGTGGTACAAAAAATATTGCAGCGACATCTGTTTATTACTTTCGGAACTAACGCATATTCTGGTGCCCTCTATGTATCAAAAGCTAAACTAATTCTGCGTTGGCGCCATCTATGAGAATTTCTGTGAACTTATTCTCCGTCTCTGTCTAATTTTTTCACTCTCGCACTCGTTGCATAAGTTTATCCTTTTTTAGCCCTCTCTCTCTGTCTCTCTCACACTCATCAAAAAATTCATGCCTGTCGTTTTGGGACATGAACCAATGCCTTCTATTAAAAGATCAGCCTACGGGCGGACTTTTGTTTACTTCATCAGCTGTACATACTTAGATATTGGGTTAGATTCCGTTTCATATTTTGTCGGTTGATTTTTGGTTTTAACTCTTTGATTTTTGGTATTATTTATTATTGTAGTGCAAAAAACTAATTATTTTGGTGTTGAAGTGACAAAAACTACTACCAGATATATGGTCACCTCGGTTTCGCACAAAAAATAGAAATTTTAAAAATTACACGTTGTGCAAGTGATTTAACCTAAAAGTGCCCATACATTTTTTACTTATCGTGATTTTTGTGTGTGTTTTTTAAGACTCTAACAATTCATCAATAAAGCTTAAGTGGAGTGTGTTATTGGTGCTATGCCTCATCTTTGTTGTGTTCCTGGTGGAAAAGATGGTTACTAAGGATAGTTACTATACTAGGCAGCCTAAAGTGTCCGGAAGAGCAAGAAAAGTGGGTACGAGTTATAAATCAAGAGAATTTTATTGAAAATATCTTTAATAAATTTAAAAATAATATTCTCCCATGATGGTATTAATGAAAACTGGACAATTATGTTTATTTTATTCATATTGTGGAATCTCCACTCCAAGTGTTGCTGGTTCAGCTTCGATAGATTCAAACACGTAAGTAGGTATTATGATCTAGGGAAAAATAAAGAATATGTGTATTAGAGATCATGAAAAAGATTATTATTTTGAGTTCAAATTTTAAAAAAAGATTTTTGTAAAGACAAGACTGATACAGTTTAAAAGAAGAATGTGTTTTTGTTTGATAATATATAATGTATGTTAAGCATAACATATATTTGTTCAGTAATTTTTAATGAATAGTGTTGATTATTTATAATACCAAATTAATATCAAATATTTAAGTGATGGCTGAATACAATATGAATAAAATAACAATAAAATTGGTATATTTGCATAATACAAAATTCAGTTTTAAGAATAAAGGTGTTACTAACAGTACTAAGAAATTCATATTTCTTTGTTTTAATTGGTCTAATGTTATTTACATTTTACGTAAGAATTATACCGTATCATCGAAAAAAATCGGCGTCTAGTTGGCTTGGAAATGAACATCGATGACATTCCCTAAATAACTGTACACATAACTAGAATTTTACAATATTGGAAAATTTGATATTCTTGAACCTTGTTTCTAAATATTCTAAATTTTTTGATTTTCTTGAATTTAGGTTCTGGAAAAACGTTGATTGATTTTTCATTTGGTTTTCATTATTTTTATTTGTTTAAAAAACGGTTCGGCTAACATTATAGCCTCCATCAGTGTTGTGTCATATGAAAAAAAAAATAGTGTCGAATATAATCCAAAAAATTGCATATAAAATATTCACACCACGCACATAATGTTTACTGCGTATCCATAGTCAATGTAGATAATTTTAGTGTTAAGAATAATAATTTTAAAAAATATGTGGTCATCTTTTGATAAGTTTATATTAGTTTATTAATTGCAGTAAACATTATGAGGTGTGAATTATATTGTATATGTAATTTTTGGATTATATTCGACACTATTTTTCTCATATGACACAACACTGTGAAGGCTATAGTTAGCCGAAACGTTTTTTTAAACCAAATAAAAATAATGAAAACCCAAATGAAAACTTAATCAGCGTTTTTCCCGAACCTAAAAATCCCAAGAAAATCAAAAATTTTAGAATAATTTAACATATAAAATGCCAGCGATCTTCATTTCATAGCCATCGCTGACGCCTTTTTTTAGATAATATTGTATTATTTGTAAATATAATTTTTCGAACATTGATACTTGCAAAATATACATATAAATTTTGTGAATGCAAATAATAATACATCACTATTAGTAGATATTAAATGTTTTTTGTTAAATTAGATCGATTTTCAAACCCCAAAATTTAAAATATATTTACATTTTACCCATTATCTTATGTACCCATACATTATTTGTACATTGTAAAACATTTGCTGCATTTGTATGGTTCATAGTTTATTTGCCAAAGTATTTATTACTATAAATAGGTATATATGTTGTAGTTATTAACTGTATATTATGTATATTTCATTTAAACTATATCATTTTTAAAATACAAACCAAAAATCTGAGGAATAATTATGTTTTCCATGTATTCTACAACATATTTATTAATCCGTTATATCTAACTAGCGTGACGTCATAAATCTCGCCCGTAGGCTGATCTTTTAATAGAAGGCACTGCATGAACAAAGTTGATATAAAAAAAATTAATATTTATTTTTATAGAGGTAAAAAATGTTAATATGATGTTAATACATAACCACACAAAGGATAAATAGTGTCTGGTACCTTTTAGGACATCAAAACTTTAAAATTTTCTAACAAAAAGTTTTTAAAGTGATTTTAATCCTCCATAATTCCCAGTCTTTTAGAATAGCATGACAAATACAGACATTCAAAAATCAAAACAAAATTTTTATTGATGTGAAAAAAAGGTTTCAAAAACAAGACCAAAAAAATAAATTCTAGTAGATCTTTTCCTGGCTAATGTATCTGAAAATTATAATAACTATATGTGTTTACCTTTCCTAAAATTAAACAACGAGAACAAGACATTTGCAAATGCATAGTTTAAAAAAAAATGGGAATGACAAAGAACATTATGTAATATATCAAAAACATATTATGCACGAGAACCCATAATTTTAATAAAGGATTTTTCAGTTTAATTAAATTTCAAATTTGAAAATTGTGGCGTCAAAAGTTGAGCAGATACATCCGGTAAGAGCTGTCAACGTTGAGTCAAGTTAAGGACTTATGAAGTTATTTTTTTACAATTTTTTTAATATAATTTGTCTCATATTTCTTACTATTTAACTATATAGAATTAGTTTCTTATAAAACTAAAGGACATTTATTGAATAAAAACACTTGTTTCTTAATAATTTATTAAAATATTAAAGAAATGCATGATTTCATAGTTTATCTAATTATGTTCGTACCAGATAATTTCAATATAAAATAAGTTTTGTATGATATTTTATATATATATATATATATATATATATATATATATATATATATATATATATATATATATATATATATATATATATATATATATATATATATATATACTGGAGGGAATAAATACAAATAAAAACAAATCTTTTAAATAATTTAAGAAGAATATTCTACTGAAATTTTAATAAAAACCATCCATGTTTATTAAAAAAAAGCTAAAATCGAGGCATCCAAGAGCAAAAAATACTCAATCGTGATTGGTCAGTTTCGGTCGCGTGGAGATTTTGAATTTTATTCTCGTTCGATGTTGTCGGATTGTTAAAAAATGCCGAAAATCTTTTTTTCTCTATGATTTTTGTGAAATTATATTAGTTTAAATTGATCACTGGCACTATAGTAAGGGCCATTTCTATATATTTTTAATAAAACAAGTACTAGTAATGTTGTTTTGTAGAAATTTCTTTTATTTCTTCTTGTAACTACGTACTAACATTATAGTCTTTATTCTTGGTTTCGATGTATTTATAGCATTAAAAATATATTTAAACAGCTTCATTTTATGTTTATTTCATGATTTTTGTGTGTTTATGTTTATAATTACTTATTTGTTTCTTATTATTTATGACAATAAATATTTTACCTTACGTAAAAAAACGATATCAGTGGAACGTATTGAGTAAATAATAACTTTTGAGAAGAAAATTAAGCTTAATTTAGAAGAATTTTCCTATAAACAATTTTATTAGTAATAAATAAATTAATTTTATGAGCAGCTTAAAATTTACGAATGACTTCAATCTGGCAACGCCGGTCCTCCTTTTATCGTTTGCAATCGAAGGATCCGTACGTCCTCTCGTCGGTTGCATGGATTTCTTAATTTTCTCACGAAAAAGTGCGTTTAGTGTACACAATTTATGCGTAATCTGTTACTAGTGCCCTGCTTAGCCTCCTGAAAAAGTGAGTACCCATAATTTTATGTATTTTTTGGGATATTTTAGTTTAAAATTTTGGGATTTCGCAATATCCATCATGGCTGCCTTCTTCTCAATGTTCCCCATTAAGTTATTAATTTTTAAGAATATTGTTTAAATAATATACGTAGATTAATAAATAAGTATGTAAAACTATGTATTTTTGGTACTTTCTATACTGCGTGTTACATAAGGGTAAAATAGTACTCATTTTTGGTAAATTACGTAATGTATCTTTGATTTTTTGTTTAATTTTTTCTGTCAAGGAATGTTTAAATAAAATGGCCGCCTGTTGAATTCGATGTCTTGATTTTTTCTAAATTGCTATTTTTAATTTAAATTTCTTTTTATAGGATATACTTGGAGTTTTCTTTATTTTTAAAAATATAATATGCGCATTTTAATAATATTTTGAATGAGTATATAGGTTTTTTGTATTTACGTTTTAAATAGGTAGGTTCATTAGGAATTTTATTACGTATTTTTTTTTATTTAAGAATCCTACATATATTAGGTTTCAGCATTTTCTATTTTAAAATATATTTCTCTTTTAAAGCGCGTTATGTAATATTACATGTTAAAAAATAGTATTAATGTTGACAAATGATTTTTGCTAATTCAGTATTAGTTGTAAATTTGCATTGAAGAAATAAATCAATTGTTATTGAATTTTTATAAAAATTAAAATATTTCAAAAACAGTCAGTATGATTTTGAGGTAATTTTTGATCGAATGTTTTTGTGTCCTCATAGTAGAAACTAAAAATGTAATAATATATATAGGATATCTCATTGTTAAAAAAAATATAACTTTAATATTTTTTATTTATTTGAAACACTGTAGGTTTAACTTTTAGCTCTAAATAATATGTTACTACTCTAAAAACACCTTGTGTATTTTTATTTTTTTATGTGTTACATCATGGAAATTCTTTGAATTTTGACTATATTCATTAAATTTATATTCTTTTTTTCTATGTCATATAACATCTTTATATTTTTGACATTTTTGGTATAATAATGAACGAAAAATCTTATAAAATATTGCTGAGGAGCATCTTTTTCATTTAAAATAAATATACCTATTTATATATTGTCGTAATATTTTTATAGATGTTCGATAATATTTTTATAGGTATTCCAATATTTTTTCGTTTTTTAGGCGCGTTATATTAATACTACAACACCACACACTCCTTCCCCACTCACACGAGCATTGCTAGCTCTCTGTGTTGGTTAATAAAATTTCCTAATTCAACATTAGTGAATTTCATTAGCTGATGCGGTTGGTTAACAGTGTTTTTGTCGGTGTGGATCCCCGGCTTAAGATGACTCCAGAGCGCGGCGCGGCCTTCCCCAAGAGAGGAGACTTCTTGGGTCACCCCCTAACCCCGATGTTCGGGCATCGATGACCTGTGTAGCATGCAGAGGTACCCAAGGGAGTCACCACCCTCTGATTTACGAGCTAGGTGTTCTAATGCTAGAGGCTTCGGCCGGATACAACCTGGCACCCAAGCTCCGAGATTTCTTCGTGCACGTATTCCGTGACCCTCGAAGAGGCAGGGGGCGGGTATCGGACACATTGAAGATGATGAGGGGGGTCCGCCTGTAGGGGGTCCCGGTGGATGTCCGTCCGACGGGTGACGAGGGTGACCCCAGACGAGGCAGCTTAATTGGGATGGGAACTGACTGGTGAGGCTTAATCGTCGACCAATGGGTCGAATCTGCATAAGGAAGGCAACCAGCACACACTCGCAGGCGGATCGTGGAAACATTTTTTTGTTTTTTCTCTTGGTCTGCCCCGCGTCGAATTTTGAAGGCAGAAAATGTCGGGAGGAGGCAAGCATAACCAGGCCTAACTCAAACCTGTTAAAAGTAAGTTTATTTTTTTTATATTACATTAAATTGTAAACTTTTACTGTACTCTCTACCAAATAACTTTTTCCTTTCTTTGTATACAAGTGTTGTATATTTTAGTTTTTTTGTTACAACATACATGAGCTTCAATTTAAAGTAGAATAACTTGTATAGTAATTAGAGCAACTTAACTTGTAGTTACTTATATAACTAATTTATTTTTTATTTTATTAGGACAACTCGGGTTCGCAGCGCGATTTTAAAAAACAAGATTGAAGAAGTCAGAAATTCTATCTACATGCTGCATATGATCAGTCCCAAAAAATTTCGGATTGTTCCAGGCATCGTCGAATACCTGGAAAACGTGTTTATTGTCAACTCTACAGGATCGACCGAAATCCATGGAGTTGGGGGCATTCGATGTGCCCCATAGCAGTGAGACGCCACTGTTTTTTTCGCCGTATAATTATTATGGTGGGACTGAAAATGAACTTAAGCAAGATGCGATGGTGGGTTTTTATATTTTTACATTGTTTTTTTTTGTCGGCTATAACTTGTTTTTGTTAGAAATATTCTAATATTTTTTTTTTCTCTTACAGGTGATACAGTATGGCTTGGAGAACTTCAAAAGTCGGTTCGCGTCGTGGTTCCAAAGCAGTAACTTTAGGTTCCCTACATTTACAGAATGTCGCATTAAGTACTCATTTCTTAATTTGCAATTTGTACATTCATTTTTACTTTTTTTCTTGCTCTATATAAGGCTTTAATAGTTTTACAAAGCTTTAATAGTTTTTTAAAGTTTTTTAGCAATAATAAATGGGTAATAAAAAATAACTCTAAAGAGACACAATTAGGTAGCATATTGTTTTTCTATTATATTTGGAAATAACTGAGGTCTTATTTTAAAATTGATAATATTGTTTAATTTTTTTAATGGTGATTTTTAATTAAACGTAAATAATGTAATTTTACATAATAATGAGAATTAAAGTATTAGTAATTTATTTTTGTTACTAAAATTAAAATCAGTTTGTTCCTGCAGAAATCTTTTTAGTACTAAACTGCTTTGGAATGATTTTTTTTGGGGGACAACAGCAGGATTAGGGCCATCTTCTAGATGCTATCAGGTAAATTTATATAACTTTATATTTATCATTTTCTTTGACTAAAAAGTGTTTTTCTTTTTTTTAGGTAGGTGCGCTAGCGTAGTCGTTTGTTGTAGCATTATATCCCTTTTCCCCTATTTTAAAAAATGTTTGTAAGACGCCTGAAATTTCTATAAGATAGTTATATAAGTAGTAGAATAAGAATTGGTGAGGCTTGGAAAATAGAAGAAAACAGAGGAGATGGAAGAGGATTGCTGTGAAATAGAAGGAAAGGAGATGTTTGAGGAAAGGAGGAGGATTTTGTTCGCTGTAATGGATATTTTTTGAATGAAATTTGGAATAACTGTATTTAGGTATTTTTTTTCTTTTAGTTACAAAAAATAAATACTTATCACAACTTTTATTTTTTTATAGATGTTATTGATATTTTGGACATCAAGTCATCAAGTTTTCATTTATTTGTGTATTATACAAGCCTATCTATTGGTGGAAATGTAAAATGGCAGCTGGTATAACACCTTGTATGAATTATTAGGAACTCCAAAGAACTTGGCAGAATTCAAACTGGGAAGAAGGTCATTAAAAACTAGTTTAGGCTACAGTAGTTCCAGGACCATAAATTGGCTTTCACAACACAGATATCTTTCAAAAATGGTAAGTTTTAACAAATCATATTCTTTTTTTAGGTTTTTGGAATGCTTGAAAATTATGACAAATATTCATTAACTACAAGTTTAATATTTTGAATTTATACACATATATTTTAATAGGAATTGTTATCGATTGTGGGTCCGCTAATTTAAACTTACGATAAAATACTTAACGAATTTATTTTCTCACTATATACATACATAATTAACTATTTAAGATCCTTCACCATTTTGTCAACATTTGCTAATCAAAAACTAACCGTATTTTAGATAGCGGCTGCTTCTCGAACGTTTGAAAATTACCTTTATCTTTTTTTTTTATTTAAATTAATCTAATTTGATACTACAATTTTTCCTATTTATTTTAATTTTTAGATATCTGTTCGAGTGATGTACTGGGCGTTAACAGTTGCTGTTACAAATCTGCAAATGAGTTACTACTGTGCATACGTTTGAGGAATGTCAAGAAATGTTTTGAATGAAACGATGGTGAAAAACTTGTCCACAAATGTCAATTTCAAGATACAATCTTTATACAATCAATAGTACTTTGTAAGACGTGCCCGGAAATTTGTGTGCTTAAGCTATTGGTATAAGTAGTAGAATAAGAATTGGTGAGGCTTGGAAAATAGAAGAGGACAGAGGAGATGGAAGAGGATTGCTGTGAAATAGAAGGAGAGGAGATAGGAGATGTTTGAGGAAAGGAGGAGGATTTTGTTCGCTGTAATGGATATTTTTTGAATGAAATTTGGAACAACTGTATTTAGGTATTTTTTTTCTTTTAGTTACAAAAAATAAATACTTATCACAACTTTTATTTTTTTATAGATGTTATTGATATTTTGGACATCAAGTCATCAAGTTTCATTTATTTGTGTATTATACAAGCCTATCTATTGGTGGAAATGTAAAATGGCAGCTGGTATAACACCTTGTATGAATTATTAGGAACTCCAAAGAACTTTTGACAGAATTTAAACTGGGAAGAAGCTCATAAAAGACTAGTTTAGGCTGCAGTAGTTCCAGGACCTTAAATTGGCTGCCACAACACAGATATCTTTCAAAAATGGTAAGTTTTAACAAATCATATTCTATTTTTGAAGTTTTTGGAATGCTTGAAAATTATGATAAATATTTATTATTTACAAGTTTAATATTTTGAATTTATACACATATATTTTAATAGGTATTGTTATCGATTGTGGGTCCGCTAATTTAAACTCACGATAAAATACTTAACGAATTTATTTTCTGACTATATACACACATAATTAAGTATTTAAAAATCCTTCACCATTTTGTCAACATTTCCTATTCAAAAACTAACCGTATATTAGATAGCGACTGCTTCTCGAACGTTTGAAAATTATCTTCAACGTTTTTTTTTACTTAAATTAATCTAATTTGATACTATAATTTTTCCTATTTATTTTAATTTTTAGATATCTGTTCGAGTGATGTACTGGGCGTTAACAGTTGCTGTTACAAATCTGCAAATGAGTTACCACTGTGCATAAGTTTGAGGAATGTCAAGAAATGTTTTGAATGAAACGATAGTGAAAAACTTGTCCACAAATGTCAATTTCAAGGTACAATCAATAGTACTTAGATTGATTGGCCTCCACTACCATTAAGCTATAAAAATGGTAAGTTATTTTTATTTTTTTATTATTTGAGGCTACAATTTTTGTATTTCACTACAAAATTGTAAGCTTCAAATTCAAAGTAAAATAAGTTTGAGATTGAAAATATATTAATATATATTTTTCAGTCTTTGTAGTTATTTACAAATTTGTATCAGACAATTTTAATTTTATTTAGTATGTTTTCTTTTTGTAAAAATCTATGAATATTTGACAATATTTGAAAGAGTTACTATTGCGTTTATTTTTTTAATATCTACCTAACATATTAAAAAAACATATTTTTTTATTCCAAAATGTGTGAAGAAACAGACTATAAAAATTTACTTATTTATTTTTTGTATTTTTAGTCAGCAATACAGATTGGTATTAATGGACGTTTTGACAGCTGTTTCCAGTCCAAGTTCCAGTTTTAATGGAAAATCTTTAATGGACACAGAAAAATGCCATTTACTGGATTGACTTCTACACCTGTTGCCTTTTAATAATGGTAAGTTATGCCTCTCAACTTATTCTTATAAAATTTAAAAATCCTATAAATATATTAAATTTTCCATCGTATTCAAGGTCTTTTGGTTCAATATTAACAGGCTATATTTCTGTTTTCTTTTGTGAACTAAAACAATAATAAAAAAGACTTAAAAGCAGGACAAAATAAAATACAGACACTGTATTACTGGTTGCATATCAGCGATCTTGGAAAAATTGATTATTTTTTAAATCTTTTTTTAATAATTATTCAAGTTTCCACTAAGATACACGCAATAAAATGACAAACCGAGTAAATATAAGTTGATTTTTTTTATTTTGATATTTTTAGTAAAGTAGATACCTTATTTATATTTTTTTCGATCATTAAAACCGCAAATATATTAATTATAATTATTTTTTATTAGAGAAACTTAACTAATTTTAAGTCTATCTAATATCTTTATTGTTTATTGTTTGTTTAATATGACTTATTTAAATGAATATAAAAAATAGCTATTATTTATATTTTTACATAGTTTTGAATATTAATATATTTTTTTATGTTTAAAAAAAATTGATAAAAAAAATTATTTAATATATTTTTTTCAATTTTAGGTATACAACGCGACAATTGCTGTTAGAAGTTAACAAGTAGTACTAGTTGCAGATAATATATTATGGTGGACATCAAAAAGCTTTAAATGGAATGAAACTTGCAGGAAAAATAAAGGAAACCCATTTTAGACTGTATACGTAATAGTTGTTAGAGTGGATGCAGTCCTTCATCAATGGTAAGTTATTTATCTCTTTTTTTTATTAAATTTCTTTGACAAGGTTGAAAATTATGATAAATTTAGTATGAACAAATTGACGTCATATTTTTTTTTATTATTTACTTTTTTTTTATCTTTTAATTTTTTTGTACTTTTAGTGAGCTGAACAAATTGATGGTAATGGACATTTTGACAGCTGCTGTCACAACTCAACGAACAAGTTGCAGCTTTGAAGGAACATTTTTGATTGGATACAGAAAAATGTCAGTCGTTTCAGGATGTAAAGTTAATAGAACCAGGGTTAGGCTCGACATCCGTTGCCTTTTAATAATGGTAAGTTATTTTGATCATTTTATATACAGAGATTTTCATACAACTGGTTCATTAAAAGTTTTTTACTGTATATATTTTTCTAAGTCTATAACTAGTTTAATTTGGACTAAATTTCATTTTAAAACATTTTTATTGGACTAGTTACGTGAAATACCCTGTATATATGGCATTGATTAGCTTGAAAATTTTGTAAAATTATTAAATTTTACAGAATATTCATACTCTGCAGTTTGTACAGTGTTAGCATTTTATTTTGCCCTAAATTTTAACAGGTTTTAATTTTTATTTATTTTAGAAGCTAGAACATTCATTAAAAAAAAGAAATTATAAAGTTTTAGCTCAAGTTTTAATGTGTATTTTTTTAAATGGAAGACCCTATACATTAAAATTATCTTATAGGTGGCACATCTTTTAATTTCTGAAAGACACTCGTGCCCTTTCTTTATATTTATATTTATTTTCTTAATATTATATATTTCTTATATTTTTCTATAACTACCTAAAGTCTATAACTAGTTTAATTTGGACTAAATTTCAATGTAAAACACTTTTAATGAACTAGTTATGTGAAATACCCTGTATATATTTTTTTGAAATGGCATTGATAAGCTTGAAAATTCTGTAAAATAATTAAATTGTGCGGAATATTCGTACTCTGCAGTTTGTACAGTGTTGGCATTTTATTTTGTCCCATATTTTAACAGGTAGTTTTAACTTTTTTTTATTTGGGAAGCTAGAATTTTCATTGAAAAAAAAAGAAATTAGAAGGTTTTAACTCAAGTTTTTATGTGTTTTTTTTTCGTATATTATTTTTATCTATTTTTTTAAATTTACAGGGTATCTTATTTAAAAAATTTATACATTTTCTACCAATAACTTAAGTGGGTGTCAAATGGCAGTGTATCATATTTATAACAATAAAACGTACTAAAACTTGACAGGAAACCCTATAATTTGTTGTTCCAGCTCAAAAAATAGAAAAAAAAATTAAATGGACAATGCTAAGATTGTATTACTGGTTGCATAGTTTTTTTTAAGTTACCACCAAAATAAATATAATTTCCAAGTTATTGCTAAATATTAGTTTTATTTTTATATATATATATATATATATATATATATATATATATATATATATATATATATATATATATATATATATATATATATATATATATTGTTAGGATTCCGTGAGTCCGCTAATTTAAAGTCATCGATATATATATATATATATATATCTAGTAAATTAGATATTTAATTTTTTGAGCATTAATAAGTCATAAATAATGTATTACTGTCATATCAAGGAAATTACAATTTTCCTATTATTTTAGTGAACTTATCAATAAAAGTCTTTTCTTTTAATTTTATATAACTCTTTATTACTTACTCAAATTAATATAAAAAAAAATTTGTACTATTTATTTGTTATTTTTACATAGTTCCAAATATTAAGATAATTTATGTTATTGTCTGTTTTTTGATAGCTTCAAAAATTGCTATAACAAAAAATTACCTAATATATATTTAATTTAGGTATACAAAAAGGACAATTGCTATTAGAAATTAATAAGTCGTACTAGCTGCAAGTAATATTTATGGTGGTCATCAAAGAGATTTAAATGGAAATGAAACTTGTGCAGGAGAAATCGTAGGGAACACCATTTTGAACTGTTACGTTACTTTTAATCGCTGCTAGAGCGGACCCAGTTCTTTATCATTGGTAAGTTATTTATCTTATAAAATTCTCATTGAGTGTTTGAAAATTTTCAAAATTTTCTAATATCATTCAAGCTCTTTGTTCAAATATTAGAACAGCCAATAACAGTTAAAAATAAGCAGGACAAAATAAAATGCTCATGCTGAATTACTTGTTGTATATTGTTAGGGATTCCGTGAGTCCAAGCACTTAAAGTCACGATAAATACTTAACGATTTATTTTCACAGTTTTTATACTGATTACAAATAATAACTAACTATTTAAAATAATCTATTTATCTATCTTATAAAATTTCATTGGACAGCTTGAAAATTTTTTAAATTTTCTAATATTCGAGCACTTTTTCTCCAATATTAGAATAGCCAACGACTATTAAAAATAGGCAGGATAAAATAAAATACTGATACTGTATTACTGGTTGCATATTTTTACGGATTCCGTGGGTCCGCTAATTTAAAGTCAGGATAAAATACTTAACGGATTTATTTTCTCACAATTTATACTGATTACAACACACAATTAACTATTTAAAAAAAATCCTTCGCCAAATTGTCAACATTTCAAAACTGTTTGATTTAAAATTGCAGAACTCGTCACACACACCTTGACGATATATTAATGTTCCCACTACTAGAATAAACGCCATAAATATATATTTTAATAAATATAATTTTGATTAATTTTTTGTTTTGTTTTTTATTAATCTTGTTTTCAAAAATCTTCAAAAATTAGTACAGTAAAAATTTACTTAATATTTTTTTGGAATTTTAGGTATATGCTGGGGCAATTACTGTTATAAATCCACAAACCGTACTATCTACAAATATTATGGTTGACATCAAAAAGCTTTAAATGGAATGAAACTTGTGCAGAAGAAATCGAGGAAACCCATTTTGAACTGCTGTTACTTAATCGCTGTTAGAGCGGATCCAGTTCTTCATCAATGGTAAGTTATTTATCTCTTTTTTCTTACTAAATTTCATCGACAAGCTTGAAAATTATGATAAGGTTTCATAATATTCAAGCTACACAGGTCTCTGAGATCAACGTCTATACCTATATGTCATTTATTATAAATTGATATAAAAACTTGTCAAAAATAATATTTAAATGAAAAAAAAAAAAAAAAGGTTTCAAACATACCGATTATTATTCAAATGTGAAAACCTTAATTTAAAAAAATACGAACTTTGAATTTTTATACCAATTTTTTATAAATGATATATTCTGGTCTACCTGGCAGAAATAATTGTCATCAATTGTTATTTCAAAAGCCACTATAATGCTGTTTTTTTTCTCCTAGGGTATACACAAATTATTAATTTAAAAAACATAGTTATTGCATTAATAAAAATATATTTATTTTAATTTTTGCATAGATCGTTTTATTCCTTTTTTTATAGTATTTTTATTTTAATTTTTAGATCTCTCTGCATTTTCTTAACAATGGATATCCAACAGTTGCTCCTACTCCTCACTTTCCTCTTTCACTCAACATAAAGCAGACTCAATACTCCTCAATGCCTCACCAAGGTTCGTTAGCTTCATTAATATTGTTATTGTTTCAATAAATTTGTTTATTGGTTTTTATCCTCTTACTATATAATTACATCAGGCGTCATTTTAATGTTAATTTTTTGTAAAATTTTGATAATCTGGATAGACACCTTTATTTTTTCTTAAGCTTTTGCAATATAAAACACTAGTTAAGGGCAATACACTTTATTTTATGAATAGGACCATTATCTCTGTTGATATTGTCTTTATATTTATGCTTTGTGTTGCCTCTCGTTTGAGGGATGTTTGATTAATTTTAAATCATTCAAATCAATGCAATAATCTTTATGGAGGATATGTTGAGCAACATAATACTAATCTGTTATAATTTTTCATTTCATGCTTTTTTTCAATCTCACCTATCTTATATTTTACTTACATTAGTTCAATCATTAAATTGTTATTAAATAAAACTATATTGTATTCTGGATTTCGTCAAAGGTATTTTTAAAAGATTTAAAAAAACAATCTTTAAAGGCTTGTATGATTTCCAATTTATTTTATCTTGTATTATGTATATTTTCCTAAGCTTCTCTAAGTTTATTCCAGATTATCAAAATTATAATTTTTATATTTGCGCAGCTGCGTCACTATAGCCCTATGAACAGAAGTATTATTTTGGTTTTAAAGTTTATATTTTTTAATATTTTATTTATTGTATTAACGCAAAACTAAATTTTATAGAATTTAACTAACTATATCTTCAACCGGATGATAATTTAATAGTTAATGGTCATTTAATATTTTTTCATAAACATTAAATGTGATTATTGAATACCAATATCAAGCCAGTAGAAATGATTTATTAGTGATTATTTTTTTGAAATATTTTTTTTATTAAATCAATTTTGGATACTTGTGTTCATATGGTTTTTTTTTGCTTTTGAGAATTATTTTTGGCACCCTATCAGATGTTTTTAATTATATGATTTTAAAACATTTATGTTTATATCTATTTTGTACTTAAATTTTAGCGATAAAGTTTGTTTCTTTAACACAGAGAGCAATGCACTTCATGCATTGTTTTCTTTTTTATGTGCAGAATTCTCTTTATATACAGTATGTCCTCAGAACGTCTTTACAAGAGCAAAAGCTTTTTTTTTATTAACATTTTCATAAAACATACATTTCTTATAAAAATATTTTTCTTTTTAATATGTATTTTCATTTTAATTTATTTAACGAATATATTGTGTGAGCACATTCGTAGATATACTGTGCGATTTAAGTAGATTTATACTAAAATTGTTTTTTTTAAATGCAATAAAAGTAATCCAATCAAAATTGCATAAATTAATTATTTTAGAAGAGTTCAATTGAAAATAAATACATGAATTTTAACCTTTAGTATTACTGGTTGCCTAATCGATTCTTATGTAATGTGGTAATGTTCTTATTATTTAAAAAAATCTTATTTCCAGTAGTAATTTTTTCTCTCAATTTTAGTATTTAAAATGTCTCTGAAAAATACAAACTGCTGTTTGCTATGTGTTAATAAAATCGTTACACTTGCGTTTAAGATAATTAATTACTGCTATATAATTTTTTTATGAAATATGAAACAGACTTTATCTCCTAAAATTTATGAATTTTACATATGAAAATGGTCTGCTAGGGTATATAATATATTTATTGTAGGATCAATTGAAATATCATAAGACATGATATAAAAATTAACATTTGTATATACATATTTGTTAAATATATAATTTTAAGATAGAACACATTTTTACACAGAAATAATAATTCTAGTTTTATTTGTGGCATATCTTTTTTCAGTTGGTCCTTCAACGTTTAAAATCTTTTGACATAGATTTCATTCCACTTAAATGTCACAAATATATATATTTTAATACCAATTTTGTATGTTATTTGGTGTATTAGAATTTTATAAATATATTGTTTTTAATATTTTCTTAATAATAGTGATCTATAGATTACCTTTGCTATCTGTAATAGGAAATATTTCTAAATATTTTTTGTCGAAAATAAATATTACTTTATAACATTTATTAAGCAAAATAAATTTGAAGATCCCTATTATTATCAAAGAGATATCATTAAAGTATTTCAATACAATATCTTTTTTTTTTTCAAACGTCACAAAACTATTAATTTTTGCAACGCGATGGCAACAAAGATTGGCATAATATAAAAAAGTAATTTTTACGCTTAAACACAAAAGTGCAAGAATTATTATTAAACTGACATTAAGTGTCAGATTTAACAAGCGTAACCATAATTTCTCGATATATAATTACTTACAACATATTACTTTTAAATATTTTTATATTTTTGCAGTTTTTGAAATTGTTTAAAACATTATATGTGACGTTTGAAAAAAGAACATGTTCTATTCGGAGTAAAAATGACTTTTCACGAACGTACAGTCTCGTCGCAAAAAGTATAATTTTTACTCCTAATAACACAATATACCGTATGATCGAAAAAAAAACGGCGTCCAATTGGCTTGGAAATGAACATCAATTACATTTTCCATATAATTTTATATATAAAATGACAGCGATCTTCATTTTATAGCCATCGCCGACGCCATTTTTATTCGATAATATTGTACTATTTCTGTACAAATGTTATTATCTGTTTTCTATATAATATTATTGTAATCTATTGCTGTATTTTTGTTATAAAATTGCTTTGTATACATTTATATTTTGTAAGCGTTTTAGAGGTTCCAAGCACTACGTTTACAGTCATTTCTTTTTTCATTTTAAATATTTTTTTGTCGTGTCTAATAATTAATCAGCTAATTAAGAGTCTTTTTTTAGCAGGTAAAAAGGAATAATTTATATTACCACAGAGTGGCCCAATGTTCCAAAAATAATCATGTTAGGTCTTCACTTTGAAATTTTCACTGATTTTTTTTATAAAACATACAGGTTACAGTAGATCATATTTTAAAGTCAGTTCGTAGGTATACACAGGGTGTTTTTAATATATTTTTGCTTTATATTGTTAGTATTTAAATGAAATGTTATTCAAATTATAATTCTATTATTATTTTAGATTTTTCCTGTACATTTTTAAAGCTTTCACAAATTTATAAAGTCGTATTTTTTTTAATTGAAAATCTACATTATAAAATGCTAATGTTTATCTGTGTCGTCTCTACTGAAGTAACGACTTGCTCTAGAAAGTTGCTTTTTTTACTAAAAGATAGCTAATTGGCTCTTCTAAAAACTGTCGTCGTCGGATTTTTTGTTTTTCATTTAATTAAAGAAAGAAAATAAAGGTATTTTTTTTTCTTGATGTCGTGGCGGATGCGCCAGTATTCAACTAGTATTTTATATAACAAGATCAAAACAAATTATACTAAAATACTTTATATGTTGGTAACTAAATATAATATAATGTCTTTCTCTGCTATTTAAATAAAACACTCTTAATTTTATAATAAAGTTAGAAATTAAATATATCCAGATATTTGAAAGTAGAATATATTAAAAAAAAATATGCTTAAGTTATTACTACTTCAAATTAGTAGATTACATTAAATAACATTCTTATGAATTGATATTGTTGTTTTGTATGCATCTGGCAAGCTTTTTCTGGAATATTTTATTTAATTAGCACTTATTAATTATCTGAACTAATTTTAAGGCTGTAAACTGTAGTTTTGGAATCTTTAAATATTTAGTCAGTGATGGGATTAAGATTTGTAATTGTGTAATGATTAATCCACCATTGTACTCCAATAGAAAATTGCGTAAATTAATTAATAAAGCTCATTTTACATAAAAAATCATCTGAAAATAGTTATCTCAATTTCTTTAAATTTTAGTATAACTGGTTGCCTAATCGAATCTTACTCATTCAAACACATTAAAAGTTAAAATTTGTAGAATAATTAATATATTTGTTTATTGCTTTCTAAGTAAGTATTGCTTTCAAATTTCAATTAAAAAAAATCGTTTAAATTACTACAGGGTAGCTCAGTGTTAAATAAACTAGGTGTTCTATTTGAGATTTTCACTTCAATCTTTTTATTACAAAACATGCCGGTAATATTAGAGCACATATTAAAGCCATTTAAAATTTCAGTTAACTAGAAGTTTACCTTGTTATTTAATATGTTATTTATTTATTTATTAACTATTCACTTCAATTTTTTTTGTATAATTTTAATTCATGCGATGAGCGATTAATTAATTTATGCAATTTTTAATTTTATATTAGTTTAAATGGAAAATAAACAACAAACCCTATAAAAACTTCCATTGTTAAAATGTTCCAAATGTATTTGTCACTTCCTCATGAGTGTATTTTCCGTCATTTTATCATTTCCACTTTGTGTTTATCAATCAA